TGAGAGGCTAACATGTTCTGGTAAACATAAGAAAAAAGTTCTATGTCTCTTAGTTAAGTGGTAATAGACATATTTTTGAAAATGTTAAAAATCGTTCCCGTACATCATATCTTTAGATACTACGGTCAGAAATGTTCGCAGTTTAATAGTGATTTTTTTAATAATGCTATAGCAATCACAAATCAAACAACAAAAGTCGTTAGTTTTGCAAAAAAAAGTATTAGTTTGATTGAGTTAAGGTTGAAAGAATTTATGTCTATTAAGTTCGACACACGATTTCTAAGCACAGGAGTTGTACAACACCATTGGCAAGTTATTTTAAAAGATGGCTATCTTTCTTTTCCTAAAAAATATTATTGCCTGTTTTTCTGCAAAAAAAACGCGTTATTTAAAAAATTCATACTTTCGTATGTTATTTGTATTTCCTCCAAAATGATTTCAACTTTGTTAGAAGATGTACCACTCAATATCTACAGAGAAATGTGGTTTCAACAAGATGGTTGCCCAGCTCGTTATGCTTGTCCTGCACGGGATTGCATACAGAATACCCAGAAAGATGGGTTAGGCGTCGCGGTTCGATTACGTGGCCTCCTCATTCTCTGGGTCTAAATTGATTTTCTTATTAGGATTGCATAAAAGAAACAATGTATTAAAAACCGATTGAAAATCTTGCCGAACTGCGCCACAATATGTATACAGCAGTCGAAGAAATAAATGCAAAGAGATTTGCACAACCAGTATAAAGATCGTTTTTGTGACGATGCAGAGCTTGTATTAGTGCCGATGGCAAATAATTTGAGCATTTGCCTTAGTTTTAAGAAAATAATGCTATAAAATTAATAAGAAATAAATTTGTTTGTTTAATTTTGTCTTTAGGTTAACTTTATTTGAAAGAGTCCTTTTGCAAGACATAAGGGCAACCATCTTGCTGAAACCACATTTTCTAGTTCGTAGATATTGACTGGCACATCTTCTAACAAAGTTAAGAGGAAATAAAGAGTAACTACAAATAGCATACAAAAGTATGAATTTTTTAAATAACGTTAAAACAGGCAATAATATTTTTTATGACAAGAAAAATGGCAAGTGTTGTACCATCTTGGAAACTGGACTAAACAGGCCATCTTTTAAAATTATTTGCCAAGGGTGTTGCGCTACTCCTTTTTTTAGAAATCGTGTGTCAAACTTGATAGTCATAAATTCTTTCAACGTTAACTCAATCAAATTAATATTTTTTTTTTGCCAAACTTTTCTTGTTTGATTTGTGACTTCTACAGTGCATGGTTCACAAGGAATACATTATTAAAAAATCACTATTAAATTGCGAACATTTCTGACCGTAGTACCTAAAGATATGATGTACGGGATCGATTTTTAACATCTTCAAAAGTATGTCCTTTACCACTTAACTAAAAGACATGGATTTTTTTTTCTCATTTTTACCAGAACAGGTATGGGTTCGCCCCTTGCCCGCTTGACGTTCAGTTTCGGGACACCCTGTATATAACTTCCCCAATGTTATGCAGAAACCTTCCTCTCGTTCTTTTTGATGCTGTCTTTGAATGATTGGGATTCGACCAAAACGCTTCTTAACAAAATGACATTGTATTTCTCAAGACGTGCAATTAGTTAGAATGTGTAAACATGTTCTAGAACTAGGGATAATTTAGAGAAGATGGAGATGCAGTAACATGTGATATCCTATTATGTGGCGGTCTTAAAGTTTTTGATTGGAATTCGATCAAAACATATGTTCTGATCGATGTGGCATTTTGTTCCTGTTAGAAGATGTACTCATCTATTTAAACGTTCTCTATTTCTCAACTGCTCCACACCACAATATATTAAAGGATCGAACATAAGCGAAGATATAAGAATTTAAGACTCCTTTCTTAGAAATAGAAGAAATTGGTGAAGTTTGAAAAAATTAATTTTCAAGTTTCAGATATTTGATATGAAGAAAACACGATTTATTTCTCAACCAACTAATTGTCTGAAGATTAACTCTTTGGCATCTATTTAGTACTGTATAGTTTAAAATTACTACTTTGAGCTTTCTATTGCAACAATAGATTTTCCACTATTTACTATTACACTATTGGGAAGAATCGATTTTTCAAAATTAGGAATCCATCTATAATTGATGAACATTGTGGAAGTTCCTCCAGACAATGAAGAGTAAGCAAAGTTCGTTCAAGATAAAGCTTGAAAAATGCGAAACTTTTTTTGCTATTGTTGAACACTTTGTTGAAGTGGTTGAAGATTTAGTTGGGATGGTTAAGGACTTTGTTGAGTTGGCTCAGGAATTGGTTGAAATGATTGAGTATTTTGTTGAAGTGGTCGAGGATTTGGTTGCACTGATTGAAGACTTTTTAATACATTTGAGGTTTTCTTCGGGTTTCTCTAACTTTATAAGTGATGCTGGTCGCTTAGAAGTTGCTTGCACTTGGATTCGATGCTGATGATTTGGGTTGTAATTTTTTCTGAGATGAACTGGGAGACGTCGCAGCCCTCAAAACTCTTCAGGATGACTTTTAATATTCTTTGGCTCATAGCCTAATCCTTTTTTTCTTCTTCTTCTTTCATCCACTTAAACTTCCAGCCTGTTCTTCATCGATGATACTTAATGTGCGTAAGTTATCGCTCCATCTTGTTCTTGAACGTTCTTGACTTCGCCGATTTATCTCTAGCTTTTTTTTACTATTCTATCTTGTCCCATTCATTCAATGTTTGCATCCCATTCTTAGTGTCCAATTGTTGATACTTTCCACTATACATAGTCTTCTTATATATTTGCTTCTTCCTCTATTGTACAGTTTTGCCAGTAATTCTGTCAAGTATCTTCGTTTCCATTCTAAAAACAAACTTATTCTTTGCACAGTTTTGTTGCAACTAGTATCATTGATTGTAATTCAGAGATTTCAAACGGCTCAATTGAAGCAGATGCATCTTTCAAAGCATCACTTTTACTTTCTATTGATTCAACGAAATACAAAAATTAAGTGACATTAATTAAAAAGTTATAAATAAATTTTAGTTTCTTGTAGAAAGGTTTTTTTAGCTTTTGCCAAATTTAAATTGTGTATACCCATCGTGTTCTGTAGATCATTTTGTACACTTTAAGATCAAGGAGAATGCAGTAGCCTACTCTTATTTCGTACCAAATAGATTTTTGTATCTATAAGATAAAACGCAACATTAATAATATCATCATTAAGTCAGCGGAGATAAAAATGCCTAAGTTGAACATATAGTTCCTGATGAGTCAAACCTTGTTTAAAAATCTTAATTATTGCGAACAATTCATTACCAACAAATTACCTGATCTAAAGCAAAGTTTCAAAATTGATATTGTGCTGATACACCACTTAATATTTTGTATCGTCACTTTTTGCTTGCAGAACTCAAAACTTGCTTTAACTTCTTAAAAGAAGAATCACAAGCAACTTTAAATTTCGTATAGTCAAGATTATACCTTCACCAGCATCAAAAAGTTCATTTTCAACTACTTCACAATCTATGTCCACCTGATTTTAGGTCCTGGTCCTGTTGTTGAGTCTACTCAAGTGCAATCCATTAAAAATAGCATATAAACAAGTACATAGATGCTACTGGTGACCAGCTACTTTTGGGTTTTTTATATTTATTTAAATCAAAGTGAATCAAGAAGCCGAAACTAACAACAATTTACAATTAGGTGATGTAAAGATGAAAACCATAGAGAATGTAATTCCTTACTGATATTTGAACAGATTCTCCATAACACAACATTTGAAAGAAATATAGTTTATGATCAGATATTATGGATCCAACGTTATTATTCATGTTTCAAAGTACACAAAAAGTTCAAAAATACTCAAAAGAGTTACTTATAAATAACAATCAAAAAGATTTATCAACAATCGAAGTCAAGGTCGCTAAATGCGAGGTGCTACAATGGAAGTTGATTTGTAATTTGAATTTTTAAAATTATATTTTTTGATCTAATATGTTAAATTAAAAAATTTCATTTCATATTTTAAGACATCCTGTATAATTACATTATTATATTTATTTATATTTATATTATCCCGTTTAAAAATAAAAAATTTTTTCAGAAACAACCCGTCGCGCAAACACCTTGGCGTTGTATATAGGTGACACCCTGTATAAAAAATCTGTCATCCAGTTCTGCAAATATAACTCTGTATTATTGTATACATAGAATATATATCTGTATAAAAACTTGTACATAATAAAAACGGTTGTTTTGTATCTTGTATCTCCTATGGCAATCATTATTATTTTATTATCATTACAACTTATATTTTGTTTTATTTTTTTCTGATTTGCTGCTGCTAAGATTTCTTTTTCTTCATTCTCGGAAAAAAAAGGCAAACAATTTTTATGCTTGATTTTTGAGAAACCGACAAATTTTTGACGGATTCTATTGAAAAAGGTGACGGTGCGCGATTAAATCAACGAAATTATAACGAAAAGTCTTTGTGTGTTTTCCGTTTCAGATAGCACCCTTCATTTAATTTTAATTTTTAACCTAACGAGATCACATAAATCAGTCCAATTTATTTTTTTTTATCAAAAAAAAATAAATGAAAATACATCTAAAACTTGAATTCTATTCCCATCAAGAAATTTGAATATTTTCGAAACAATTTTCAAATAAAACCGGAATGTTGTTTTAAATCAAAAATTGTAATTATTTTGTTAAGGGTGCCATTTGATTTGGATTTTTTTAGAGTAATCGCTAACCGTCTTTTTCAGTTTTTATTATTTGTATTTTTGGAGTCGAATAGAAATTGCAAAAAAGTTCCGAAAAAACATTAAGTCCTCGCGAGTCTCGGTAAAAACGTTACTACTAAGAGATCACATAATAGTTCATAACCTATCACCTACAACAATTATTCATTTTTAAATATATATAATATATCGTTACTCTCGGTTGTTTGTTTGTTTATTTCATTTTTTTAAATTTAATTTATTATTTTTTTCTTTCTTGCTCATTTTAAAATGTATTGCCGCTAAGTGCTTTTTATTTCTTAATCAAGAATCTAACCTCGATCTTTTTTGCCACCCCATTTTATTCTCTCCCTTTCTCTTAGTTACCGTCTTACAGCACCATTTTTTTCAATCACCCGGCCGGTTGTTTTCTTTTTTATTTATTTTTTTTCTTTATTTATTTGATTTTCTTTCTCAGGAGCCGTTCCACAGCCCCAAAAAAAATCCGCACGCCCCAGGCTACTCGTTCTGTTTGGTCTCTTCGGTTGCGTAAGTAGCAGCAGCAGTAGCGGCAGTAGCGTTGGTCCTTATCAGCGAATTTGAGATGGCAAATGGTCACCCGATACAGGGTCCCAATTGCCATCCCGTTAGTCACTGCGTTGGTAAACCGTTTGGCGGCTTAAACTCAGGCGTCGCCGTCGCAAACTGACTGACGCTCGTTGGAGGATTAAATCCGGGCGCGTAACACTGTGGAAAGTACAACTCCGGTTTTACCACCGTCGTTGGTGTTAAACCACGCGGTAACATTCCATTGTGTTTACTAAAATTAAAAAGAACATTACAAAAAGGTAAGATTACTAATACAGTAAAATCTCGATATTACGGACTAATACGAGGAAGGGCCAAAAATCCGTCATATGAAAAATTTTTAATTTACACTTTACAGCTATCCACATTATTGCGTCCAGACTACATGGCTTTATACAGTGTGTTAATTAATTATCGTACCCGACGTCATCATTGCAAGTATGCAACCAATATCACAGTATTGGTATCACAAAACGCGATTTGCGTATAATGCGTATTGCGCTGTGATATTGGTTGCATACTTGCAATGATGACGTCCGGTATGATAATTAATTAACACACTGTATGTGTATCAAGGACAGTAGAATCTAAGAGGACAGCTATATCCCGGGAATAAGTGCACAGCGCGAAGGCCCGTTCGTGACGTCACCCATAGGCACTGGTAAGTAATTACTATTTTACACGTTGACTTAGCTAATTTAGTTAAATAAAAATATACAACAACATAACGCTGAATAACAGCTATAACATTCGGGCTAATAACGTCTTCGGCTAAACCCGAAACTTTCTAGTTTTAGAGTTAGTTTTACACTAACACTGTTACTATGTAGAATTAACACTATACAGGGTGATTCTCAACCTATACGCATAAACTTGGGGATTTATCGAGACAAATAGTGGGTAGTAGGTGAAAAAAATTGGCGATATCTAGATAAGGTACTTCTTGGAAGATGGACAGGTCAAGGTAGTTCATACGACTGGCCATCTCGATCAGTCTCTCGAAGTTAATATTGAGCAATAATTGTGAAATCAGATACAAACTGCTGTTGATAATCCACAAACACCCTGGTTTAGGCCGCGCTGTCATACCATCTTCAAAGCTTCCAGAAATCATCTTACACAACATCAAACGATCTCCTCTGTTTAGAACTGGTACCACCATACTTATTTTATCTTCAGCAAAAAAATGTTTACATAACATTTGAGTGTATCGGTTGCTCACGTCCGTCTGATTGCAAGAGTTGCCTACACAAATGATGCATGGCGAAATTTAGTAACGAGATGAAGAGTGACAATCACACAATGTTGAGGAAAATATATCACAGAATCAGATAACCTTCCTCTGTTACGGTGATCTAACCAAAACGTTCGACAAAGTTAGGATAAAAGAATTAGAACAGGGCAAAGATTACAAAGTATGTAATGTAAACTATGGTTAGACTATGAATGATTATAAAATCAAGATTGAGTGCTATGCGGATGATGCCGTCCTCTTGGCTGATACTGAAGATGGCATACAGTGGTTAACACAGGCATTTAACATTGCAGCTGAGGAAGTGAATACTGAGGAAGTTAATACTAAGCAAAGATTGCGAAATCAGGTACAAACTGCTGCCGAGACAATCCGCCAACACCCTGTTTTAGGTCGCGCTAGTCGGACATCGTGGATTCAGCAAGCCCAATTGTGTATAGAAAATATTGGAAACCACTTGGAACACTTACTTTGATGTCATTTTAAAATCTTATATGTATTTTTGATTTGAGAATCACCCTGTATTTGGGTTTAGCCGCACGGGATTCTAGTTCTAGGTATAGTGTTAGTTCTAGTTTTACCCTTGCACTGTCACTAGAACTAATATTAGACCTAGAACTAGAAACATTTGGGTTTAGCCGTATGTCTTTTAAGACGGCTAAAGAGACTAGCGCTGCATAACAATTGGATCACGTTATACATCACTTGACTAAGCGACATTTTATCGTTTTTAGAGATTTGCATGCTGTCTGGTAGGTAATGATGTAATAAGTAGGTTTTTTAATCTAAAGTAATGGTGTAAGAACCGATTTAGATACGACATTTAGACACTTAGATACACCAAGAAATTCTACAATAGAAAAGATAGATGAACCTACAATTTCGGACCAGTGTCGTTTTCTAGATGTTAGTATAAAATTAAAAGTTTATGTCTTTTATTTTATATAGAATTTAAGTCTAACTAGTTTCGGCCCTTGGCCATCTTCAAAAACTCTACAAATATGTGTTTTTTAAAAATAAACAATGTTTATACTCCAATATATTTTATAAATTTATTAACTCTATCGGTTTCGGCCTAGACCATCGTCAGGAGTCTCGTTGTATAAGGTTGAGGTTAGGAAACACATTCAAATTTACATTCAATTACATTCAAACTTTGATATATCATTAATGGACTAAACTTAGAAACGAGAATAGGGATGTAGCAGATGTGTCAAGTGAAACATATAATTAATATCGGGTGTATAACATATATAATAACCCGACATTATATGTTTCACTTGACACATCTGCTACATCCCTATTCTCGTTTTCTAAGTTTAACCCATTAATGATATATCAAAATTTGAATGTAAATTTGAATGTGTTTCCTAACCTCAACCTTATACAACGAGACTCCTGACGATGGTCTAGGCCGAAACCGATAGAGTTAATAAATTTATAAAATATATAGAATATAACAATATGGATAAAAACCCATTTACTCTACAAATAGATTAACATCTCTTATCTTATCCATGCTACAAACGACAACGGTAGGTAGCGCTAGTTAGCATAAGATATTAATATGTTGCACATTTTTATTGAACTAAAATTAGAACGAGAAACATTCGGGTTTAGTCGTGAAAAAAACATTCAGTTGCCAATGTCAACTTTAATTTTATTATTATATTCGTAATCTTCATAAAATAACCTTTAAAGTGAGTCCAAACATGACGCATTTATCTCAAAAAACCAAAACGTTCGGTCTTTCAACTATTAATTTTGACATATTTGTCAACTTGATAAAAAATCCTTTAAAATGAGTCCAAACTCGACATATTTACCTTTAATATTAATGGAAATACAATCACTTCCGGCTTGAAACGTCAATTTTGACATATTTGTCATTTTCATTAAAAAACCTTTAAAATGAGTCCAAAGATGACGCACTTATCTCAAAAAACAAAAAAGTTAGATTAAAAAACATTAAACCCGAAGTTAGCAACAATGAAGACAGCAATTTAATTTTTAAATATTAATACCAACCTTAATTTTTGATTTTTTTATTATATTTCCGCTTTTGTGACAAATTTTAACACATTTTATAAAAATTAAGAATATGTCGAAATGACGTTGACATTTCAAACCGGAAGTTGCTTATAGCTCGAGTAATATTGGAATTGAACGTATCATGTTTGGACTCATTTTAAAAGATTTTTCACGACCATTATAAATGTGTCAAAATTGAGGTTGACATTTTAAACGTGAAGTTAGTTATCATATAATAGACAAATGGACAACTTCATGGTGCTCTTTCATGATGTATTCTTTATTAAAAAAAAACCTTTAAAATAAGTGCAAACAAGACGCACTTATCTCAAAAAATAAAAAAGTTTGAATAAAAAACATTAAACCCGAAGTTAGCAACAATGAAGATAGCAATTTAGTTTTTAAATATTAATACCAACCTTAATTTTTGATTTTTTTATTATATTTCCGTTTTTGTGACAAATTTTAACACATTTTATAAAAATTAAGAATATGTNTCTGTGCTTGTGATAGCTGTCATCAGTGTTCTGTGATAAAAATAGACAGTCATCAAACAATTTTCAATAGTTTGAGCCTGTCTATTTTGAGAAGTCTTATGTTTTTAGAGAGATGAAAACGAAAATCTCGTTTTTCTCAACATTGTTCATTTGTCGCTTAGTCAAGTGATGCATAACGCGGTCCAATTAAAGCTAGAACTAACACTAGACGTAGAACTAGAAAATTTCGGGTTTAGCCTACACTAGCCTAGTGATAGTGTTAGTGTAAAACTAGAACTACCACTAGACCTAGAACTAGAATCATTCGGGTTTAGCCGTCTTGAGAGACGTGCGGCTAAATCCAAATGTTTCTAGTTCTCGGTCTAGTGTTAGTTCTAGTTTTAATTGTTATAGAGCGCTAGACCAAGAACTAGAATCATTCGGGTTTAGCCGTCTTTAAAGTTGTGCGTAACCGTTTGGCTACCAATTTTGAAAAACCACCGTCGACTAATCCAGAATAAAGAAAAAAGTAGGGCTAAACCTAAATGTTTCTAGGTTTACTGTTGTAGTAGTGTTAGTTGTAGTTTTAATTGTTCGGAGAATACCCCCAGTTTATCTATGAACTTATCTATAACTTCAAAATATTTTGTCCGTTATATCGATGTTTTACTGTATGATTTAAATTTAAGTTTTAACTTAATATGACAGTTACGCATATTTTAATAGATTTAAAAATATAAATAGATTAAACTTACCCATCTGAATTAGCAGAATCTCTTCGATTTTTAGCTGCATGTGGGTTCATATGATTATCTATATGTTTCTTAACTTCGGGCTCGGTGGCAAACCGTCTCCGGCAATTGGGCATTGGACAACAAAACGGTCGATCTCCTTGATGCGTTCTCGTGTGTTGATCTAAAATGGCCTTCTGTCTAAAATCTTTCCCGCACTGTGTACATTTATAAGGTTTTTCGCCGGTATGAATCCTCAGGTGTTGATTTAAAATGGTCCGTTGCCGAAAATTCCTCCCGCAATAAATGCAACCGTACGGCTTTTCGTTCGTGTGGATCCTCAAATGTTGCGTTAAATGACTTTGTTGTCTAAACCGTTTTCCGCATTCCGGACACGGATACGGTCTGGACTCGATGTGGATGCAGCCGTGTTGAAGTAATGTCGATTTCTGTTTGAACTCTTTTTGACAGATCGGACACCGTACGTAAAGGGGCATTCCGGCGGATCTTCCGTGTTGGATGACATCCGGCAATTTGCCGGTGCCACCTTTATTACTGAGGTATTGCAACGCGCCGAAATTGGCACCCGAACCGAACACAGAATGGTTCATTCCTTTGTTGTCTTTAAAATAGGCCGGATACTGAAGGTTCCCGGTGACGCTGTTTGGTGAAAAACAGCTTCCCCGGTCTGCTTGCGACGCGTCCCCATCACCATACGTACTCGTTACTTCTTCTTTACCTTCATCGGCAGGAAACGGAACATCTTGAGGCCATAATGTTGGATTTATACCATTTTTGAACACTAAGTGAGGACTCACATCTGTAAATTAGAAATAATATTGTATTTATATATTGAAATTTTAATGGAATTAGTCTAATTTTTTTTTTATTTTGAGTGGGAAGATTTTATTTTGATAGAAGTTTAATAAATTTTTAAATTTATGTTTGTACATCAACTTAGGGTATACTTTCACACAAATAAAAATGTAAATCAAATAATAGGCATTTACACAAAACCTAGCCATATAAATACCTGGACACCTACAAACGTTGAATAAATGATATTAGGGATGAAGTTTATAGATATCAAGGATGAGATAAAGTTGAAGACAATTTTGATGCTAGGGGAAGCTAGGGACGTCATATATGATGGGAAATAGTTGATGTTGGCAGTCCTCAGAGAGTGTATGGATTACTTCAAAATTTACCAGGAACAGTTTTGATGCATAAGACAATATTTGAAAAAATTAGGAATAATAATTAAAGATATCAAGGAGGATTAATAGATTGTGGAGAAAATGTTGAGGAAACCTAAGACAATGTTGAGAGATGTTAGGTATTATATTGAGGAATGCCATAAAGTATGTTGATTATACATGTTGACAAAGATAGAGATCTTAAAGAAGATCAAGTTGGTGTTGAGATATGTTCAGGATACTGAAACAATGTTAATGAAGATACGGGACAATGTTCAATGATATTACCACCATATTACGAATGTATTGAGGGATATAAATGAGAACCATATTGATAGATAATGGAAAAGATGTTTATATAGATGTTAAAAAGAAGCTGAGAGATCAGGGATGTTGCTTAGAGTTATTAAATTAGATGTTGATAAATGATAAAGAAGATATTGAAGAGAGCAAGATAATATTTTGATATATCGGACAATTTTGATAACATAGTCGTTATTGAAGATAACACACATGATGTTAAAGGATGTCAGAGACAATCTTTATTGATATCAAGAACAATATTAATAGATGATGAGAAGGTGTTGTGATTATTATTAAGATATGCCAAAAACGTTTTGAACGCCATAGACAATTTTTTAGGATATTTATTGATATCGAAGACAATGTTTATTGATATCAAAGAGGTTATTAATTGATAATGGGGAAATATTGAGAAATGTTGGAAACGATAGCTATAGATATTAAGAACAATAGTGATGGATGACGAAGAATGTGTTGAAAAATATTAGCATAGTGTTTAGAAGTTATTAGGATTGTGTTGAAAAATGATCTAAATATTCTAAATAATGTTGAGGAAGAATAGGATTATTGGAAGATATCTGGGACAGAGATATCAAGGCGGTTGTTTAGACAGTGTTGAAAAACACTACAAACTATGTTGTAGAAGACCACAGACGGTATAATTAGATATTAACGATGTTGATAGAAGATGGATAACGATGATGAGGACGTCAGGACACTGTAGAGAGAACTTTTAGATATTGTGTTGAGGAATATCATACATAACATTAAAGAAGGTCTAAGGCATGCACTATGCCAAGGTTGTTATTAGAAAATATAAGGGACAATGTTAAAAAACATAATGAAGATAGATATTTATAGATGTTAATAAAAGCTAAAACAGTGTTCAAAAACGTTAATAATTATGTCTAGTTATATCAAGGAGAACGTTAATAGATCATGAGGAAAATATTGAAGAATGCAATGACAATATTAGGAGATAACAGAAGCGATATTAAGAGATGTCGGGGACAACAACACTGTGCTGCAAACTTTAACTTTTTTTTGTGTAGTATTTTAAAATTTTCTCAAAAATAGTGATGTTATGGAATTTCCGGTATAACCGAAAGTGGTACAAGTATGACACTATTAAAAGGTAGATCTCTTCACCTTATATCAAGGTGCCAAATATCAAAATCATTGCATCTACAGTTGCATTATAAAATTCTATGTCCAGCAGCAGTGAGACACCTAAATTTAAAAAAAAGACGTGACACAGAAAACTGGAAGGCATATTTGAAATCAGCAACCACTAAAAACACTGAACTCATCAACTGTACAAAAATCTTGCAGTACAGTATAATTAGAGATATAAATGATGGTGACGAAAGTATTGAAAGAGGTGAGTACAATATTGGGAAGTGGCAGGGATTATGTTGGAGGGTGTCGTAAATAATAATGAGGAAGGCCAATATTAGTATTAGCCAACATCGGGGAAGACGTTTAGAAAGATCTTCAACAAATTTCCAAAAAGCCATTTCGACTATGCCTAGAAACAAATTTGAAGCTTATTGCGATGTTGGATCTTCTAAAATAATAAAGAAGTCTCGGAATAAAATTTCCATTAACCTTTTGTGTACCAAAAAACCACTGTCGAAAAACCCCTACCACACTTTCTATAAATGAGTACGAAAAGATAAAAACTATAGCGATGACGCCAAGCCAGTAATAGCACCGTCAAATCTCCACATCGCGTAAAATGTACTGAAATTTGTCGTCCCATAATCTGAAGAACGGTATAACACTGCTAGGGACTCAAACGGTTAAAAAAATATGATATCCGATGAAATTCTTGACATTATCCTAAGTATGATGCTACATACTAAGTATATGTACTTTCTAAGTATGTCAAAAAACACAAATAGAGTGCATATCACCAAACTTTGTCACATACAACACAAGTGCGACACAACAAAAGAGAAGAAATTGATTTATTCAACAAGTTCTCATGGAATTCATTCATTTTTGAAGATCATGATGACCATTATTTAGAAGAAACCAAAAATTTCGTGATTCTCAACAACTTACACAATTAGCCCATTGATAACCAACAATCACAACACCTTTGCGTAGTTGTTTGACATGCTATTGCTAAATATGAAGCAATAGATCCTGACTTATTTGGAGAAAATGATACTAATATTACCATTACTTCTCATTGCTATACTAACCTAATTACAAACATTTCCTTGCTAGAACTACGAAGACTTATGAAGAATTGAAAGAATTATGCGAATCCCCAACGTTAGAGGAGTTGAAGGATTAAATTCTATTAAGTAACCAATAACCTCGAGAATGTTTCATCCTGAAACATATTTTATACTTGGCAGTTAACGTGTGTTGCTAGAAAAAAGCAAAACCAAGCAGACAAATGTTTTGCTTTGAAATACATCACAAATATGATATTGCGACGTCTTGTTTGACATGTTATTGCTAAATATGGAGCAATAGATCCTGACTTGTTTGGAGAAAATGATACTATTATTACCATTACTTCTCATCGCTATACGGACGTAATCAAAAACATTTCTTTGCCAGAACTACGAAGACAAAGAATTATGCGAATCCCCAACGTTAAAGGAGTTGAAAGATTAAATTCTATTAAGTAACCAATAACTTCGAAAATGTTTCATCCTGAAAGATATTTTATACTTGGCAGTTAACGTGTGTTGCTAGAAAAAAAGCAAAACCAAGCAGAAAAATGTTTTGCATTAAAATAGATCACAAATATAATGTTGCAACGTCTTGTTTTTTTACCGATATATTTATATTTTTTTCATACGTGTTCGTGTACTTATTTTATTAAATAAGCAGTTTTTGGGGATTCCCTTTAAATAACCCTTTAACGCACTATCTAGATTTTACCAAAAGCATATCGATCCCATTATTTTTTATAACTGCGCACTAAAATTGTTAGCAAAGTAGGCTATCCTACATTATTATAAACGTGGATTGCCGTTGGTTCCAGACTAATTTAATTAATACTATAAAAGTTGTGAAATGATAAGTCGTAAAATCTGTTATGTCTCCAAGATTTCTAGGATCATTAAGTCTCGTCAATAATGGTAGTGGATGAGGTTGTTAGGAATATAAGGTTCTTATTTTGAATAGACAAAGTTGTATGCATAATATGTGCGTTAAAGGGGTTTGTGAATAATATAACCATTTACGAACACACCAATATATTAGATTAGTTATTTTTTATTTAATAATCATTATTTATTAAACTTCTATCATACAGGGTTTGTACAAACAAAATGGGTCTTAGAGATTCCGGTAGTTGTAGCGGGTTAAGGGGCGGTGCAATAAAAGCACCGCCCCATTGCTGCTACAGTTGGCAGTATTGTTTCTCGAAAAAGATGGGAAATCGGCCGCTCCCGGCGCTGCTCTCCCCAACGCTTACGTCCCCCTCGTGCTTGATGTGGATCGCGGGGGTTTCGGATTGATTGGGGCGAGTGGCGCCGGGATGGTTTGATGGGTTCAATGTTGGGCGCTCGCCTTGATGTGTGCGGACGTGCTGGTTGAGGATCGCCTTCTGACGGAAGTGCTTCCCGCACTCGGGGCACTCATACGGCTTCTCACCCGAATGGATGCGCAGGTGCTGATTGAGGATGGCCCGTTGTCGAAACGTCCGCTCGCAGTAAACGCACGCGTAGGGTTTTTCGTTCGCGTGTATCCTCAGGTGTTGCGTTAGATGGCTCTGTTGCCTGAAACGTTTCCCGCACTCTGGACAACCGTACGGTCTACTATCGGTGTGTATCCGTTCGTGTTGGAGCAACGTCGATTTCTGCTTAAAGTCTTTCCCGCAAGTCAAACACTTGAATAGCCTTAATTCGCCGCCGAGGCCTTTGCCCTGTTTCAATCCATTCTGCTGTTGTTGTATCACATCTGGAAGGGCGGCGGCCCTCAAATCTTGCATGTTGTTCGTGTACTGATCAAGTTGATTCGCGGCTTCACTTCCTAGCGATGTCAACATCGCCACACCGGGCTGTTTCAAGTAGTGCAATGCGGAAAAGCTGCCCGCTCCTAACATGTGGGGTGGCACGGGTGGCGGCGCTGCCGGAGGCGGTGCCCGATATTGTTGATACGGTTGTTGCTGCTGAATGTCTGTAGGGAAGCACTGGGAGGCTGGCCGCGGTTCCATATCCATCGTCGGTTGATCGCTTGTCGGTAGATCATCGTCTCTGGGCTCGGCCTGTGTGGCCGGGTAAGGAGACGGGGCGGGCGATGGTAAACTCTGATCTCGAGCTGGTACGGAATCCGCTTCAACACCCAATGGTGGTACAGTTGGACCGCAAGATTGGTTCGGGCTGTTAGCGCCACCGGGAGTTGTTTGTTGCTGTTGTGTTTGTTGTTGTTGCTGTTGTTGCGCTTGAACGGTTGTATACGGATCTTGAGCTCCTCCCCATTGTGCCTGACTGCGTTCTATACCATCTTTGTATAGTACATAAGGTGCTGAAGTATCTGCAACAAACAAAAATATTTTCTTATAAAATAAAACCCAAATCTTTATTACCCCATTAAGCACCGAGCTTTTTACCGCTTTTATCTAATTAAATAGTATATCTTAACAAGTTGTCATTTATAAATTAATTCGTTATACACCAAGATTTCTTTACAACCTGATAAAAATTCTTGTGATGTTTTTTATTTAAAGGATTATTAACGTTCGAATACCTACGTTTAAAATAATTAATCCTTTTTAATCGCGCCGATTATTTAAACGTATAAAAGGTAATTAAAACAGCTTTATCTTAATAATTTTAATACACCCCCAAACGTGTTTGTTTACTTAAACTTTATAGGTTATGTGTGTAACAAACGCATCAATAAGCCGATAAATTTCTATTTTACCAACACGCGGGTTAACACTAACGTATTAAAGCTCTAATTAGCAAAGTAACGATTACTTTATTAAGTGGATTAAGTCTTGTTTAACGAACAAGGAAATGTTAAGTGGCACAAAAAAAAAATTCAAATAAAAAATCTGTTGAATAAGCAAGTAGGAATCTAACTTAACCACAACCGGGTCAGCGGTAAATCGATTGAAACCCGCATCCGTGAGGTGGCGCCCTCAGTAACGATTTTAATGCAAAACGAATCTCTAAATCGCTTCGTGAATAATTAAGATTGAAAAAAAAAATAAGAATAAGAAATTAAAAAAATTATAGAGGTTATCGAAAAGTGGACAATAACTTAACCTCTTAATCACTTAGCGGCAAAGAAAACTAATTAATTGATTGTAGAGATAAAGACATAAAACGCCGTCGCTATTGTAACCTAATAACAATTACGGCAACAACACAAACTACCGAAGAAAGACGAAGAAGAAGAACAAACGAACGTCGGGTAAAGCGGCGCGACGTTAGTCGTAATGGCAATTATCACAGACGGCGGAGGCCTCCCGAGGTGAATCGTATTGTCGCGAAGTTAGTTAATAGTTTGCGGGAGCGCTCCATAATAGGTTAGTTGTAGTAGTAGTAGTAGGGATGTCGATCTTCGTTTGTTTTCATTGAGGATCGCGATAGTCGAGCTCGTGTTTAGATGCGAAAACAGCGGTTGTTTTTTTTGCTGCTGCCACCAACGGAAGGCGTCGCGAAAAATTGCTACTCGATGCGCGCGATGTCGGATATCTCTCACCGCAACCGCGATCTAAAATTACAAAGTTGATCGTGAAAAAATTGACCCGAAGATAACGACGTTTATCGACTCGATTTATTCAGCTGATGCATTTCAATTTTTTTTATTCACAGCTGACAGAGATAATAATTATTTGTAAACAAAGTTTCTTATTTTTATAATACACTTCGATATTTATGTTGATTTACAACCTAAATAATGCTTCGAATATGATCGTATTCAGCGTTGCCAACCTATGTCGGCCAAATACACACTAGAAATAGAGATTTGGGAATACTACATCCCAGAAATAGTTGCACAGCTCGACGGCCCGTTCGTGACGTCACGTATGGGTAGGCAACTACTATTTCATACTTTGAATTAGCAAATGTTTAATTTATACTGTTTGTGTTTTGTATTGCTGTTAGTTTGAGACTTAATAAGGTTCATAATATAAAAGAAAAATCTTGATCGAGTTTAGTCGTGCGTTTCTTAAGACTTCTGAAACTCGAATGTTTCTAGTTCTAGGTCTAGGGTGAGTCCATTAAAACTATACAATAATCTAGCGCTGGATAACAATTAAAACTAGAACTAACACTAGATCGAGAACTAGAAAATATTTCTAGTCCTAGATCTAGTGTTAGTTCTAGTTTTACACTAGCACTGTTACTATATACAGTGTGTTAATTAATTATCGTACCCGACGTCATCATTGCAAGTATGCAACCAAAATCACAGTATTGATATTGCATTACGCAAACCACGTATTATAAAATTACAATAATTAACACACTGTACAACTAACACTATACCTAGAACTCTACGCCTTCTAGTTTTATTATTCAACGTTCGATTGTTGTCAAACAAGTCGGCTTATCACAGCCAGTATGGGAGGCGAGTCCTTGACTATTAAGGCTCCTTGACTAATATCAAGGTCTATAGAACATAAGGTTACCTAATACCGATTCTCCTCCTCTGAGAGGCAAGGTGGGTAAGTGACGTAGCTGGTTCTATGAACAACACAACACGATGCGAGGTTTAAATATTTTATATAGACTGTACCATAGTATAGGCACGTATAGGCTATCTTTTACTCTGATTGTATCGAACCAGTGACGTCAATCTGCGGGGTAATAATCGATACTACAGAGGCATAGGGAATTAGGTAACCTTATGTTCTACAGACCTTGTACTAATATCACCTCTTCTAAGGTGTCTAGTAGTTGGAGACTTCTTGAACATCTTAACCAAGAATGGATTCGTGATTCAGGAATATGTAGATAGGATGATGGTAGTTTGAGACTTAACAAGGTTCATAATATAAAAGAAAAATCTTGATCGAGTTTAGCCGTGCCTCTCTTAAGACGGCTAAAACCCAAATGTTTCTAGTTCTACGTTTAGTGTTAGTTCAATAAAACTATACAACAATCTAGCGTTGAATAACAATTAAAGCTAGAACTAACACTAGACTTGGAACCAGAAACCCGAAACTTTCTGGTTCTAGGTCAAGTGTTAGTTCTAGTTTTAGTTCAATAAAAGTATACAACAATCTAACACTAAATATCAACTAATATAATAACACTAAGCCTAACACTAGACCTAGAACTAGAAATATTCGCGTTTAACCGTACGTCTCTTAAGACGGCTAAACCCGAATGTTTGTAATTCTAGGTCTAGGGTTAGCTCTACTTTTGGTTTAATAAAAATGTACAACAATCTAGCGCTGAATAACAATTACAACTATACCATTTCAAGTTCAAATTGGCACTAATCAAACTCAAAATGGCATTTAAATCCAATTTGGCAACTGTCATAATCAAAATGACATTAATTATTTCCAAATTGTCACTGTTAACAAATTGTCTACAAAATGCCTTATATTATTAAGAAAAAGGAAGCAGCAAACGTAAAACGCCAAGTTTGTGCCGTTTACAATACGAATTGCGTCTGGCGCAATTTAGCTGAAATTCTTAGTGTTACAAAAAGAACAGTTCAGATGGGTAAAAAATCAAGAAGAAGAAGAAACACCATGTAAAAGGAAACGTAAAATAAAATTTACAGATGAACATCACCGTTTCTTTAAACTTAAAGTTGAAGAAAATCCGAGGTCGTTCAAAAATAGGAAGTCGTGGTAATTTCATTGCTACTGGTAGCAGGGGAGCAAATGTACATCTTCTCAGATGTATCAGTAACTTGGGATTCATATCATGAATGAGTTTGCTAGGCAATACTCAAGGACAGTGGACACGACTACTACATTCATTGTTATTTTGTAGCCCATTACGGGTTGGTTGCCCGCACTCTACGTCACACTATTTGCCACGCCCAGTTAACTGTCATTGAGTTCTATACGTTTTCTGTGTTGTTAGAAGTTATATGATATGACATTAATACGTCTAAAAAATAATATGAATACGTCTACGATATAACCTCTAAAAATACACAGCAAACGCATATAACATAATAACAGCTGACTGGGCGTAGCAAATGGTGTGACGTAGGTGCGGGCACGTAGTCACAACAATAGATGTAGCAGTCCTGTTAGATTCTACAGTCTTTGGGCAATGCTTAAGGAGAGCTCAAGATAGCTAATGTTCAGTGGCAATTGTGATGTTGAACAAGTGTTTGAAGAACAAGAATTTCTTCATCATAAAGTTGTAAGGCTAAGTCCTTACAGTCCAATGCTAACCCCAATTGAACAGGCTTGGTTAACTTTGAAAGTACATATAAAGGCGGACTTGACAAATGCAATTACAAATATTTTAGAGGGAAATGGCCGAGAAAATTTGTCTCAGAGTACAGAATTCGAAAATATAATTAGTAACAATATTCCAAAAATCAATGTAACTAACTGTAACAGGTTTATTAGTGCCAGTTTGAACTTGAGAAGGTATACAACATTGTTATGTTAAGCATTCATTACTAAAAAACACAATACAGGTAATTCTCAACCTATACGCATAAACTTCGTGTCAAGAATACATAGAAATTATGTCTCTACGCAAAAAGCTTTCCAGATAGATATCCTTTTTACGTATGGTAGGGAAAATGGCAATATTCGACTGAGGCTTGGGCAACAAGGAGGAGCAGTTAAACCTGTACTACGAGTGAATCATTCCTTGCTACATCAGTTGAATCCAAACATTACCAATAACATTTTAGTTACGAATTAGACGATTTTCACACGAGACGATATTCAGAATGTCTACAGGGAGACCGTAGATTTAACTTCAAACACTTGGTGAGATATTATTTTAAAAGGTTCTATGTATTTTTGTTGTGAAAGTAAACTCTATGTAACTAAAAAACTTTTGCGACAACTTTGTTCGCCTATTAGTCATTATTTGTCATGAGGAAGAAATCCCCAAGATTATGCGTATAAATTGAGAATCACTCTGTATAATCGCAATTTAAAGAAGTGTATTGTAACAGGTTAGAATTGTAGCATAAGACAAAACGCTCAAAAAAATCTACCAGTAATCGGTGGGTTGGCAACGTTGATCGCATTAGACACGTCAAGGTGCATAGACCCTTTGCGGCAGATTTGCGGTATTCCGCTTAATTGGTCCAACATTTAATGGGAATCCGCTTAATCGGGACAAAACATAGAAGACCGAAATCTTATTCGGTTATTAGCTTCTTATCTGCATTGTTCTAGTGCAGAGCTACATTCGGCGCCTTTATCCAGGTTGTTTTCTTTTAATGTTTTTTGTTTTCGCCTGAAATCAAAATGTCAGGCAAATATTTAATATTAAAGGAAAAAAATTGATGTGCTCCAACAAATTAAGAATCAATACAACCCTCCGACGATTACAAAAAAAAAACTGTAGGAGTTGTACGACGACCATTAGTCGATTACTTAAACATCGGGATGAACTGGAAAGACAATGGACAAATAACGAAAATCAATTAGGATCATCTCGTAAATGAGCTCAAGACGAAGCACTCAATCGCTGGTTTTCCGAAGTTATCCAAAGAGGAGTAAGCGCCAGCCATATTTAAAGTGAGGAGTTGAAGAATAGGCGCGGAAATTAGGACACGAAGATTTTATAGCTACGCAAGATTGGATTTCTCGTTGGGAGGTTAGAAACGGAGGGAAAAGGTTGAAAAAATGGATACCTAAAAAACTCCGGAGTTGCTTAATTTATACAATTCAAATAACATTTTTAACGCGGATGAAACATATCAGGTATGTTATGTTACAAAACAGACTAGT